AAGTTCGGAGTTAATAATATTCGTCAAAGACGATATATTATCATGAGAATAAAACAAATTAGTATCATCGGCAAAAAGAAGAAAATCACCATGCTCAGTAACTTCACTAATATCATTAATATAAATAAGAAACAACAGAGGGCCAAGAATTGATCCTTGAGGTACCCCACATCGTACTTCTTTATACAAGGAGGAAACACCATTATATTCTACATATTGTAACCTATGGGATAAGTAACTTCGGAACCACTCAAGGACCACGCCTCGTATGCCATAATGCTCAAGTTTGGAAATTAATATTTCATGATCAACTGTGTCAAAAGCTTTAGATAAGTCAAGAAAAATACCAATATTGTGCTTATTAGCATCAATACCGGATGAGATTTTATCATAAAGATTTATAAGTGCGTGCGAAGTTGAGTAATTTTTCCTAAATCCATATTGGTTTTTAAATAAAATATTATTATCATTAATATACTTTAATAATCTATTGTAGACGACTTTTTCCATTACCTTAGAAAAGACTGGTAAGACCGAAACGGGTCTATAATTGGAAAACAAAAAATTATCACCAGTCTTAAATATCGGAACTATCCGAGCAATTTTCATTTGGTCTGGGACAATACCACTTATAATAGACGAATTCATAAGTTCGCACAATAGTTCTGAAATGAGATCAATAGAATTCTTAACTATCTTGATAGGAATGTTATCATAGCCTGGAGCTGCACCAGAACGAAATGAATTTACTACTTCAACAATTTCCTCTTTAGAAACTGAATTCAAAAATAGGGAATTTAAAAAATTTCCATTGAGATAAGAACAGGCAGTCCGTGAGGAATTAGGTATTTCTTTAGCCAAATTAAATCCAATATTAGTGAAATATTCGCAGAAGCGATTAGCAATAGCGGTTGGATCAGAAAAATCTTGATTATCACAAGAATAGTAATTGAAATCTGGATCCAAACCACTACCGATTGTAAACTGATCAATAGTCTTATTAAACGAAGTATTTAACAGATTAAAAATCAAATTTGAAAGTCTGTTTTCATCGTAACTAACAGGGCCATTCTGTAATTCATAAATCGTATGATCAAATTCTTCATCATTAAGACTATAAAAGGGTAATACACGGCAGTAAGAATCGAAGTTAACTAATTATTTGACACACAACAGAAGTCACATAACTGGTGTAGGTAAATACTAATTCCTAGTGTCCAGTTTAAATTCGTCAAATTCTTTAATTGAGGAAAATGAATATACTCTAGATTCCTGGCTATTATTTTTCCTCAAAAAATACCTTTCCATTAGCTGTCCAAACAAATTTGAAGTTAAAGTCTCGCTTGAATGCTCTCACTGCTCGGAGCAGTAACCTACCCCTTTGTGTCAGGCCTTCATTTAAATAAATTTTGACTTCTTCATTCAAACCCAAATCAAGCGAGGATTTATTCCGTAGATTGCTTTTTTACTCAGCATCGCATTACGAATATCTCGTCTTGAGAACTTGACAATTATTGGAGCAATGAACCCTTCTCTTGCCGATAATCGGTGACTTATAGAAATATCCGACTCTTTAATGTTCACACCTAACAATTGTCCAATTGCAATAATAATTTCGTTTGTATTTTCCCCAGTCGAAATTGGGACTCCATGTATTTCAAGCATATCTCTTCGAGTATATTCTCTGAGGCTTTCCAAATCGACGTCAAGTGTTGTAACATAACCCTCAAGGTTATCAATTCTCTTCTTAAACGACTCGTTTTGTGAACGTAACTCATGATTTTCAGCCTTCAAGATATCAACTGAATTAGCTAGCTCATCAAACTTAGAGCTAATGAATTCTTGACTGGCTTTAATATCATCCAAATCCGATTTAGTAGAAGTTGTAAACTTTTCGAACATTTCGTTAATTGATTTAGTCTGTTGTTGTAGGCGTCTATCAAGAAACGATTCAAGATCACTTCGTACTTCATCATTTTGATCACTTGTATGGGAATCTTCTGCAATAACATCAGATTTGTCTTCAATTCTTGAAGCAGTCTTCTCAGTAGCAATATTTCTCTTTTTTGGTGGCATATTTCTTATCAAACGAATACAAATAATACAAATACAGCGGAGCAGAAAAGCACACGTCTGCTCGTCACGGCTCGCCGGCATGCCACACATGCAACTAGATTGCTATACGTGGCCGCGTAATTTGTTGTTCCAGCTGGTATACTAGAATAGAGGGACACCGAACACTGGACAGTTTTTACTGACGTTTTTACGGACAGTTTTTTAAGTATACAGTGTTTTTACGGAGACTTTTTTACGGACAGATTCAACGGACAGTTTTTCTAGAAATTTTTCATTGTTTTTCTTGCACCAACACTATTTGACAATGCAAAGTTACCATTGAGACTGTAATTAAACTTGTTTAGGTGAATAGGTAGCTCCGACTAAAGAAGGCAATTTTATTCAAAGTTTCGACTCTTATTATGGTCAGTTTGTGCATAGGTTATTTTGAACCTAAAAACACACGAAAAGTACGCTTTCGCCATTGTGCTATCTACCAAACTATAAAAGCTTTGGCTATTCTGAAGTGCTTATATACAGCTATTTCAATTAAGGTTGTCCCCCGAGCAAAGCGGAAAGTTGAATACGAGCGCGAAAAGCTGCTGGGAATCGCTAATAAATTCATTAATTTATTATCGAATCCCAGCAACCTTTCGCGCCCGTATTCGACTTTTCCACTTTACTCGGAGGACAACCTGAATTGAAATAGCTGTATGGTTCAGAGACGGTGCTATTAGGGTGGTCCTTGGTAAGTGAGAAATGTCTAGCACTGATATTTCGCAAGAGAATGACCATGCAATACTCTTGGCCAAACGTCAATTTGTGGCTTACAACTTCACCGTTCAGATAAACAGCTGTATACATTAGCGTACTTTTTTTCCTAAATATTTTTTGTGGAAAAATAATTAGTACTTATTTAAGTATATTATCACTGACTGTGATGTTACTCTGAGTGTATATCCACACCGGGCAAGCTTGAAAATATGCCTCGCCACGGTGGGATTATTTTTCAAGGCATATTTTTCAAGCTTGCCCGGTGTGGATATAGACTCAGAGTAACATCACAGACATTATATTTACCTGACATATATACACAACACCAACACAGAAAAAATATATTATCACTGTTTTAGTGTAAAATAATGAATATTTTGTGACGGAAATAATAATTTGAAATGTACCTATATCGGCTGCAAATGGACGTATTTGGCCAAATTGGCCACACTTTACTCCGCTGTCTATGTCACAGATACTCTTTGTTATATTTCTAAAGACGTAAATAAGTTCAGATATAATGCTATCAAGCACAAGTTAAATAAGTTTTAACCAGGTTTCAAGTAAATCCTAGCTGTTTAATCATAGACATGGTTACCCAAACAAAGTTCAATTTCGGCGCCATTTTGTCATGCTGTGTAGGTTCTCAACAATTCGGCGTCGTTATTCTTCCCTCCGAGTCATTTCTATTGCACTAATAACAAATTTAACTTTTCTAAGGGTATGAAAATAAAAAAATAAACGATATGAAATGCGCACTTTACCAATCTGTAAGTTGTTGCTTATGAGTCTTTCAAAAGGGGGGAGGCTAGGGTGAATGTTTTTCACGAAGTAAGATAGAAGAAAGCTGCGTGTGACAACGCAAAAATTACAAAAAAATCTGTTATCAGTTTAAAAAGTAGAATTCAGTAAATAACATTAAAAAATTGATTAATAATTCAAGGGGAAAATACAAAAGAAATGAATGTTTAATCAATGTTTGTAAATCGGATACAGATTTGTCCTGATTTACATAAATTTCAGGTTTAGACAATGTTTATTTTTAAAATTACTTCGCCAATGACCTCATAAGATGGTTCATTTTTTAAGTACGATAAAACATTCGCATTCGATCTGTATCTGACGTACAAACTCTCGCCTTCGGCTCGAGTTTGTATATCCGATACAGATAGGCTGCTCATTCTTTATCTAGTAGGCTACGTATAGTTTGGGATATTTGCGCTTTCACCAATAGTTCAGTTTTTAGCATTATTTAACAAAAATTACTCAGTACACGCAAATGTTTTCTATCTTCTAATCCCAGTGATGCATAATGAGCGGTGAACCTCGGATATACATCTAGGTAAAGGGCGAGAACATCTTTTTATTGTTTTTAGAGTGTATTTGAAAGGAACTGAATCAGATATGATGTCAATCAAACACATCTTTCCCTTTGTTGTCGTCTTCATTAGTGTTTTTACCACAACAGCTGCTCAAGATGTATGCCCAAATCCAACAGTAATCGGCGAACTTCGAGTAATGAGGAGCAAGAAGTGTGTTAACATAGATGGGTTTGATGGCTTGGGAAACATTAACACGTATAGTTGCGATGGCTTTGACGACCAGCGAATAATCATGTGCGGAGATGGCTCGATACGAAATACGAAATCTCCTAATAACTGTTTTACACCAGGAACAGCAGGAAAGGGAAATGTTAAATCGTCAACATGAAAAGTGTACCCGAGTTTGCCTGATTACCAAAAGTGGAGATTTGGAAAATCAAAAACCTTTCTCGACACTTTTGGAATTGAACAGGAAGCAAAAGAAATCATTAACGTGGAATCTGGGTTCTGTCTCAACGTCGAGGGTTCTGATGGCACAGGTAACATTAATACACATGTTTGCGAGGATATGACAGACCAGTACTTTTTTATTCGTTCCAAGGGGCAGCTGGTGAGTCATGGAAGGCTGCAGGTTCAGGAATCTGGACTTTGTCTTGATGTGCAAAGTGGAAGCTCAGGCCCACGATTAGGGGATAATGTTCGAATATACGAATGTGAGAACAGTGCGGATCAGTATTTTGGTTTCTATGAAAATGGAGAAATAGTAAATGAAAAGTCTAAAATGTGCCTAAATGTCGCAGGTTTCGATGGAAAAGGCAATATTGATATGCACGCATGTGACTATTTTGATGATCAAAATTGGCTCCGACCTGTTCAGTATTGCGATGGAGACTATTGCTCTTTCGTCAACAAAAAGTCTGGACATTGCTTAAACGTTCATGGAACGGCAGCCGGAAGCAACAAAGACGTTTACTCCCACAGCTGTACCGGAGAACGAGATCAACGATTTAAATTTGTTACCGGGACATGGGTTACTCCAACTACATCATGGTCCCTGGTAGGTTGCAATGAAAACGGAGAAATCACTCAATCAATAAGCAACTCAATCGGCTATTCAACCTCTGTCAGTGAAAGTACGGCAATTGAGATTGGCGCCGAAATTGAAGCTGGTTGCTCCTTCGGTAGTGTCACAGTCAGTACCACTGTCTCACAATCTCTATCAATGGAATGGTCGGAGAGCCAAGAAAAGTCGGAAGCTATTTCTTTTACTTGTCAATTTTATGATAACGGGAAACCGTTCAAGGGAGGTTGTATGTGGCAGGTAAAACTTACAACTGAGCAAACGACAAACGCCGACGATGAATTGGAGTGGAAGCCCCAGATTGTGAGATGCACAAATAAAAATACAGCGCCAACGTGTCCTCCATTCGTCAGCTGCCAAGATGAAGCATGTACGATGTGCGAGGGTACGGTGTTTGGGAAGAATAAGCGCAAACATCATGCTAAACGATCCTTTTGGAAAAAGATGTCGAAGACACACAAGTCATCAAGCTAGAATGTTTACCAGTCAAAGTTATTCCGGATATTTTGGTTGATGTGGTATTGCAAAGCATGAATAGGCATGCAGTTATGACATTTAATTAGTGAGTAAATAAGTTAAAGTCGCGCTCGTGTCAAAATGTTTTTATTTTTTAAGCATATCTTTTATTTTTAAACATAATCCATCAAAAAAAAAGGAAGATACGCAACAATTGCTGATACATATCTCATTTCATATGTAATTGAGTAAATGACGTTACATGAAACGAAATTAAATATCTCAAGAACAATAAGCCCTGGAATAAAAATCTTCAAAACAACTTACTATACAGTTGTAAGATATTTTTCTTTTAATGATGTAGGTTATATTAACAAACGCGCCGCATCTTTTGAAATATTTTGATAAAAGAAGCAATAATCCACAAATAAAAATTTTGATACGAGTGCTACTTTAAGGTTCTTGATTAATTTATTGTATAAGTATTTTGGAAACGCCTAAATTTTAAAGTATCATATATTAGGGATCGTTCATTATTAATGTATAGAAGAGAGTCAGTGTGGTTAGACGGTCGAGAAAGGTATAACAAAAATTTACATCTTCCCTTGCAAGTGAGAATAAAAATACATACCCCGCTTAAACTACTTTGAGTCTTTGTTGAAATGTAGACTTTCTGGGTTCCTATATAAACTATTTTCCATCCTTCTATTATTTTTAACCAGTTCTCTCTGATGCATGAGTAATGAACGGTCCCTACATGCTACATATAGTGTGTAGTATACAGTATTTAGAGGAGCACGGGTGGCAAAGCGGTTAGCGCACTGCCTCGTACCACTGAGTTTGTTTGTTAGTCTGTTACTGAATGTCGAGAACATGGTGTTCAGTACTTCAATCGAACAACATCCATTTGTTTATCAACTCATGTAAGTAGAGATTTGGTTGGTTCTTTCCCGTGCTTGGAGGGTTTTTCTCCGGGTACTCCGGTTTCCCCCACCCACTAAAAACTAATTGTTGTCCAATATAGGCATTTTAAAATAATTTCAACTATTATCTGGCACTGGGAAAAAAGTTAAATCCATACTACAAAATTTGCAATTGCACCACTAAATCCATAGTATGTCCAAACTATTTCCATACTATATCCATACTGTGAAAATATACAATTATTATGGTCAACCAAAATCTATTCTATGGATTTTCAATTTCTTTCTAGAAGGGGACTTTTGTCAGTTGAGTTATTAAACCTGTTAAGGTTTTCCACCCACGTCAGAGTCGAATTAGACATGATAAATAAATGGACCTGTAAGCACTAATAATTGTATAACTGCCATACAAAAACATAGTATTAAAAATAGCACGACTTATAAAAGATTATTGTGTTGATGATCTATATGCATTCTTGTATGTCAAATTTCGAAATTTCGCATGCCCCTGGACCTCCCTAGCTTTGGGAGTATTATAACCACTGTCACTTTTCAAGCTAGGTCCGCCCCTACGCGTTGTGAGAGGTGTTACACGCTGCAATGATTTTTATGCTACTCGCAACAACAGGTAGGCAATTTGTATGAGCATGCGCGAAGAAAATTAATATGGCGACATATATTTAAGAGTGCTTCGTCGATTTATCTGGTTTTAAAGCTGATAAAACAACATTTTAATGAACGAAAACTTTGTAATATTTTGTGGAAAACATTAAGCTGTACAGTCCAAAGATTTTAAATTAAAAATAAGTACTTTTGCTTTATTTTATTGATTTTTATGCTTTCAAAACAGGCAAGCTCATATTTTTAAAAAAATCTAGTCTAATATTTTACCCATCATTTGTTTAGTCTGAACAGAAATAGATAGAACACTTGGCTATATAAGTTATAAAAGTATTGTTAGTTGATCTGAAAGATTTCAGTATTCCTGGTACACATTTTAACAAAGAATGAAATGTAATTTTAAAAATTAAATATGCATATCAAAAACAATAGTTTTTATTAGAACAACACAGAATAAGTTGTACTTTCTATTTTTACAAAAATAAGTTTGGAAACAGGATATAGTCCTCCAGATTGATGTCATATTCCATTTATTTGGATATTTGAGTAAAGGAATGTGAAGTATTAATTGAATCTTGTGCAAAATTTGATACCAACACTCATGTGAACAGATACTATCACCTAAAAATAAAAGAAAACAGAACTTAAATTTATCATATAAAGCCATGAAAAAATCTTAGATACTACAGGCATATAGTGAGCACAACACTTTAACAAACTCACTAAAATAAGTTAAGTTATGCTATGATAAGAGGATGGCAATATATGACAACATCAAATGTCACCATCATCAGTGTCCAAAAAAAGTGCCGCGCGCGTTTTTCATGGTCGCCTAACTGGTATTGCCACAAACCCAGGTGTAAAAGCAATTAGAAAAACCTGGTTTTGGATGATGAGCATAGTCAAATTCTTGACTTATTCAATTTTCTAAGTTTTTCCAGGTAAACAGATTCGACATTGAAATAAGCCCCATTCGGGACCTTGTAAAATTCAAAATATTGTGTATGGACCAGATTTTTTTCAATTTTCTGTAATTTACATGACACTAGTTATACTCAACCAGTATTGTTCAAGACATATTTTCAACTCAACCAGTATTGTTCAAGACATCACATATTTTCCTTCCAAAACACCTTTTCAAAATACTAACCCAAACATGTCAAAAATAGTGTACATTTACAAGGGCAATTTCAACCCTTTGGCACATTTTTCCCATGAATGATTTTAATTCTAATAAAAGAACAATAGATAAAACTTTGATTAAAAGCTAGTTTCAAGTGATGAGCATACCCTAATTTTTAAGCTATACCTCAAAGAAGTTGGGTCAATACAACATAAACATTGAAATATGGGTTTACTGACAGCTCTGTCACGCTTGTAGTTTGGCATTAGCAGACCATCTGAAACATTTTAATTAAAATATAATTCACAAAATTCACATTTTCAGTTACTTCTTAACATTTGTTTTAATCCAACTAGCTCTGTAGGCACGAGCAAAATGTATAGTGTTGATGTAAATATCCATTTAGTTCATGTTTCCCCTGTGAAAATATAGTCTATTCCAAAGCTGGATTTCGACGTACTTTAGCTTTTCAGAAACCGTTGGCCTTCCTCAGTAAGATTATCAACTGTTTCACAAACATGTTTGATAGTAAACAGCTAAAATATTCTCCGAAAATCTATATTTTTGCTCTTCGAAGCGAAAATGGCAACTCGAGAAGAAATGAGCCGCTATTTTTGGTCAGCGTCGACAAATTGCCTACCTGTTACTCGCAACGATAGGAGACAGAGGCATGCGAAGAGACTAGGGAGAAGCGCTAATTGGCGCCAAATTTTAAGCGCGTGTACTGGGGAGAGCCAATAGGAACTCTCCAAGCTATAAACATTGCAGGACAAGTTGCACGAAGCCATATTACACGTTCCAATGCTAAAATAATTAGTGGAATCGTTGCCAAAAGTTGAATCGACTTCCACTCTGTCTTGTCTCGCAAAGATTTTGACCATTGCAAGGAATGTTAAGCGTGCAATGACTCATTCAACTTGTCTTGGAACGCCATTGCGGACAAGTTGCATAAAAAAAGTGCACCGTGTAACAGGGCCTTAAATATATTGAAATGCAACAATAGTAATAATTATGATATATTAGCGATTCGATTTTAATTCCCAGGAGCCTAAAATCGTTTATGCTCAAGAATTGCAAAGTGGATTTCTTAGCAAATTCCGAGGTTCAACTTGCCCTTTGGGAATTTTTGCAGGTTATGCTTTGTGGATCTTTTGTTTGTTCGTGTTAGCGAACTCCCTTGTTGTTGTTCGTTGCATGCATCCTAATTATTCTATCTAATGATGTTCAACTCAACCCAGGTCCTGTTCAATTTTTTACTATCAGTCAACTCAATGCTAGAAGTTTGAATGTAGGACGCGATAAATTTGAGATAATTTCTTCCCTTGTTACCGAGAATAATTTTGATATTTTTGCGATTACTGATACATGGCTCAATGAACATATTTCTGTAGTGACTCTATTACTAATCCTGGATACAGTAAAATTACCCAACGCGATAGAAAGGGAAGATTATGCGGGGCGTCGCTATTTACACGTTATATTCGCTTGTTGTTAAGCGATGGCCTGACCTTGACATTGCAGGGCTTGAACTTCTTTGGATTGAGTTTGGACTAAATCAGAATCACTTTTTAAGCTGTATTTGTTATCGGCCTCCAATAAATGACCTTGGCTCAATAAATACATTTCTAAATGACTTTCAAAAACATTAGATGGGATACGCGACCTGCTAAGATATTTCAATTTAATTATTGTTGGTGAATTTAATGACCATTAATGCATATTATCATTGTTTTGAACAGGTTCTTATTTTTAATAAGCGACTACAACGGTCAGTAGCAAGTTATTATTGCGGTCAATCAGGTGGAACTGGAGGTCATTATTCTTAAAATAGTAACCTCCTTTTCTAAACAATGAAAATATGCATTAAATTGGATAATGCACGAATTCCTCGGCCTCGGAGCTCATGCATTATCCTATATTTATAACATCAACTACCCATAAGAAAGCACTGATGTAGGGAGTCGGCTTCACAGCTTTTTGATGGAAGCAACCTCATGCACACAATTAATTACAGAAACCACGCGAGTCACCAGCCAAAATGCATCAATTTTGGACCTTGTTATAATGACCAGTTGTCCGACCTTTTTTACAAAAATGGGAACTTTAAGTCCGCCATCTAACTGTGACCATTCTGTTGTTTTTGCTGAAATGAATATTCGCAAAGAATAATATCTGGAATTTTATCTGGAATAATATCTGGAATTTTAATTACGCTGACTTCCACCCTTTGAATAGGGAACTCTTGCAATCAAACTGGTCTTCTGTTTTCGACGGTGCTTTTGATATTGACATTGTTTATAATACTTGGTTTGCCCATTTTCTCCAAATTATTGAGAAGCATATTCCGTTAAAAATTGTTACCATAAGGCCAAGGTATAAACCTTGGATGAATGGTGGCCGACTTCGAATTCATAGTAATATAGACAAAATGAAAACTCATGGGAAAATAATCGTAGACGACGTAACCTGACAACACAATTGATTAGTTCTCCTAAACAATTTTATTATGATAAAGTCAATAAAGATTCGTGTAATCCACTGATAAGTGCCAAAAAATGGTGGTCTATATCAAAAAATATTTGCGGCAAGAAAAATAGTTCAAGAATATCATCAATATTAGAAAAGAATATATTTCGATAAATAATCGGAGAGCAAATGCCTGCATTTTTAACTCAAAAGGGGAACCTCGTCTACCGACCAGTATGGATTTTACCATGTTTGTCAAAAATATGTGAAAGAGTCATTTTTATCAGACTTTATAATTTGTTGTTAGAAATAGGCTTTTTATATAAGTTTAAATCATGATTTAGGCTTCCTTTGTTCTTAAGTTATATAAATGATTAAACTGCATGACGATTTAGAATCTTATCGTTTTATTTTTGCTGATGATATTACCCTCTTCGAAGTTGTCGATAATCCAATCAATTCTGCTCAACTTTTAAATGAAAATCTAAATAAGATTTCTCAGTGGTCTGATAAGTGGTTGGTGACCATGAGCCCGTACTCTATGACATTTTCAAATGAGAGAGAAAGGATAAATCATCTGGTGCTTTCAATGGAAGGGTGTGATATAGCAGAAGTTAATTAATATTCATGCCCACCTTGGTCTCGTTTTCCAAAATAATATATCATTCATGGAATAGTCATGTATTTTCTATCTACAAAAACGCCTCTGAACGCTTAAACTTGTTAAAATCGTTAAAGGGATACGGCAATATATTTTTTTATTATTTCATTTTAAAGAACTTTTAAAATTATATGTTAATCTCCTTTAACGATTTTGCGTAACTTTATTATTTTGACTTACAATAATTTGCTGTCCGCCATCTTGGATCAATATTTATCTCATTATCGGTGATTTTAGGGACGTCAAAAGCAGGGTTAGTCATATAAAACTACATCTAAATGTTCAAATAATATTTAGTCTTGTTTGAAAATTCGTCAGACTGTTTTTTATTTCAAATAGTTCCTGAAGTATACGATTTTGGGCTCATAATAACCAATTGCTCTATGGATAAAATTATTGCGTGACCCTGCTTATGATGTCACATGCATAGAGATTATAAATAACACTAGAGGGGGTATCGAGGGTGAAATTTAGAAGCGCGGTAATGGGGAGCAAATTGAAATCACGGATGAACACCACACAATTCTTGTGTTGCACTTGAAACCAGAAAAATTTAAGACAAGAGTCACAAAACTGGATGTTTTGTATGCTTTGTATGTCATTACTACAAACATTCCGCAAAAATGTTGAATTCAAACGATTATTTCCTCCTGAAAAAATAAAAATTGCTGACATCAGCATTATTTTGGAGTGCTCTCAAAAATGTGTTATAGACAAAATTGTGGTAAAATTGCATTGTAAAAATCAAAACGGGACTATTTAACTGCCATAAACAAGAATTTAGATATTTTGGCTCAAACACGCTGTTATTTTAGCATTTTAATTTTTTGCCCCCCAATAGAAAGGGGTTCTTTGACTGAATTAAGATTACGATGCCGCCCCCCCCCCCCTCTTGTGTTATTTATAATTTCTATGCATGCATATCCGCCAAAATCCAAGATGGCGGAAAGCTCGCTAATTTGTTATTTTTTTCTGTTCAAATATCTCAAGAAATAATAAAGTTACGCAAAATTGGTAAAAGAGATTTACATATAATTCTAAAAACTCTTCCAAATGAAATAATAAGAAAATATATTGCCGTATCCCTTTAAGGTTTAAAATTAATAGATCAACAATCGATTGTCTGTATAAGAGTTTGATGGAGTGTGAGATCTTATATGCATGGGATAATTGCACTATTGGTAATAGCGACCTGCTTGAAAGTTTCGAGTATGAGTCTACCAATGTCGTTACTGGGGCCACAGCAGATACTAGTGCAAAAATTCTTCGTGAAGAACTTGCTTGAGAGAAGTTGAGCATCAGAGAAAAATTCATAAATTATCTCATTTCTACAAGATAGTTAATCCGTACCAGGTAGATCTCTTACCGATTATAGTGAACGAAAGATCGTATATTTCCTTACGAACTGGCCAAAATATTAGTGAGTATCTATGTTGAATTGAAAAATTCAAAATATTTTTTTCCTTCCTCGATTTCTTTCTGGAACTGTATTGATCTTGATGTGTGAAATTCAATCACTCATGCCATTTTTAAAGTTAAAATAGTTAGTCATTTAAATCCATCTAATTATGATAAATGGCTTTTCACTTCCGAGAAGCGCTTGACAAAGTCGAGTGCATGTTGAAAGGATCTATCCGGTTGAGTTATGAAGAAAATTGTATGTCAGTTGGCATAGTTCAACGGTATATTCTGGATACTTGCCGTTTCTCTTGGCCTCATGACTCAATTGTGTCTGTCTTCCTCTTCGTTATTGGTTGTATTTGTTACTGTGTTTTGTAAATAATGTGAGCTTCCTTGATAGGCCTTGGATTTTGCGGCAAATTTGTCAATAAAGCTTATATAAAAGAATGTAATATCTTAATCTTGATCTTTAGAATGTAATATCTTAATCTTTATACTTTTTATATTTTCCAATGTTTTAATTTTAGTGTCTCGTGATGGCAGCAGGTGCCCAGAACAAGTTATCGTCCATAGCCAGCACGTTCGTGTAATATACGGTATGATAATTGGCTATCGTCAGCGGTTAGTGAAAATTGACGATCCTCAGATAAGTCTTGACGGTATTGATATAAAAAGTGTTAAAGAAGCAAAAACAATAGGTATTTTCATCGACAAAAAATTACTATGGAAAAATCAAATTGACGAACTAACTACTAAAGTTTCTAGCTATAGAGGAATTGGCATGTAAGGGAGAATGGAAGCCTATGTTCCCCAAGGAAATTTTAATGCAGTGCACTGATAATGCCACATTTGACTATTATTTTATTTATTTATTTTATTTTACAGATTTTGCCATTTAACACTAATTATTACACAAAATTAGTTACACAATAGATTACATGGCTGGAATTACCACACAGAGATTAGTTCGCTTTAGTATGAAGAAAACACTCGAGGGTAGATGAGGTTTGCTGCAAAGAACAAAAGTGTACTTTAAAACCACTAAAACCACATGTTTAACAGTAATATCGAAATTTGCGGCCCATAGAGGGGGTCCAAGGACCCGGTCCATAGAGGGGGTCTATGGACCCAGTCCAGACAAGGGTCCATGGACTGGGGTCCATGTTTTGTACTGTCCCCTAATACATACGATACCACACCAAACTTTTTGTTACCAACAACCATCTGCCTTAACTGTTTAGATTTTATAGTCTGGGCAGGTGGTCTTCTCTTTAGTCGTTTAAATTTTTGTATGCTAAAGAGAGTAAAGTTCTTCATAACAACTGAACAGCACCTTTTATATATATTTGCAGGCATTAATAATAAAAAGTCAAAACCATTTTAGTTTTACTGTTTCCATTACTTTATTATGTCATAATATTTCTTTGAAAATCTGGCAATTTTGCCGTTTTGTTTGTGCTATTTTTGTTTAATGTTTTTGTTCATGCCATAGTCATATAAAGTTGTTATTAAATTGCCTTAATAGATTCATAATATTACATTTTGCCTAAAATATGTTAGCTTCTTCCATAAATACAATTTAATAAACATTAAATACATTTTAAATAATTTGTTTTGGTAAAAGTTCACGACTTGAATTTGTTGTTCATTATTATTTTCTGGAGCCATTCATTTTGCATTTCTCGAACCAAAATGTGCTCACGATAAACAGTACTATAAGTCTTGCGGTGTTGCTACGTTCCTGTATACGTTGAGACCGTCTACTTGGCTGTTCCTCGGTTGATCTGATCTCATTGCTGGTTGAACAATGCGTTGTCATGGTTGAATGAATTCCGCTGCTAGGGATGGCGTCATTGGAATGGTTGGATTGTTGTGTTGCGGATGTTGAAGGAAGTATTATTTGGAAGTTAGTATTAGTCATAGTATCGTTGTTATTAGTAGGACATTTACGTGTTGTTTTAAGTTGTAAGTAAACAGTGGGAATTTCAACGTGTCGGTTAATTGTATTACCGTCTATACTGTACCATGCTTCTTTAAATTCACGTGCGTGTTTTATTTGTGCTCGTCCTAATAGTTCGGTTTCTGTCTAGTTGAAGGTATGGCAGTTGTCGTATGTGTGTGCCGCAGGTATAGTGATTTATAATCGTATCGTTTTATGGCGTTTTTGTGTTCAGTTATTCGTGTTTCAATTTTCTTCGAGGTTTGACCTATGTATCGTTCTGGACAGTCTCTGCAAGGTATCATGCATGTATATAGCATTTTTTGTCTGTTTTGATGCAGTTTTGTCTTTGTGTTTTGTGAAATATGACCTAAGTTTATGTGCCGGTTTGTGTGCTACGTCAATGTTGAAAGGTCGCAATAATCTGGCGGTCATTTCAGATGTACTGTTTATGTAAGGTAGATTTATTCTTGTCCTTGATTGTTCAGGCTGTTCGTCAGGTATGTTACTCTGTTTTTTGTTGTCCATTTTTGTTAGTATTTTGTTAACGAAGTTCCTAAGATAGTGGTTTTTCAAGAAAGTCGAGTACAGATATTTGTGTTCTGTTTGTTTAGCTTATTCTGTGTTACAGTGCGTATCTATTCGGTTGAATAAGTTTCTTGTACAGCTTATTTTGTGTTGAGTAGGGTGGTTGCTGTTAAAATTCAGTATTTGGTCAGTGTGCGTTCTCTAAGTATTTGGTCAGTGTTTGGTCAGTGTGCGTTTTATTCAGTGTGCGTTTTATTCAGTATTTGGTTAGTGTGCGGTTTTTTTTTCAGTGTGCGTTTTTTTAGCAACCACCCTACTCAACACAAAATAAGCTGTATAAGAAGCTTATTCAACCGAATAGATACGTAGACGTTAGAATGTTAGGGTTTGTAATCCAAGTGAGAATATATACGTTTTAAGACCTAACCAGGAACGACTGCGAAAAATGCAGCACAAGGTTCTCTGGTAGGAATTGAACCTACGGCCCTGCGATTCCGGTGCAGCGGTGCACTGTAACACAGAACAAGCTAAACAAACAGAACGCAAATATCTATACTCGACTTTCATGAAAAACAACTACCCTAACAAAATACTAACAAAAATACTTAACAAACAACAGAGTAAGATACCTGACGAACAACCTGAACAATCAAGGACTAGAATAACTCTACCTTACATAAACAGTACATCTGAAATGACCGCCAGATTATTGAGACCTTTCGACATTGACGTAGCGCACAAACCGGCACATAAACGTAGGTCATATTTCACAAAACACGAAGAAAAAAGTGCATCAAGGCAAACAAAAAATGCTATATACATCATAACTTGCAGAGACTGTCCACAACGATACATAGGTCAAACCTCGAAGAAAATTGAAACACGAATAACTGAAGACAAAAACGCCATAAAACGATACGATTATAATCACTACCTGCAGCACACACATACGACAACTGCCATACCTTCAACTGGACAGAAACCAAACTATTAGGACGAGCACAAACAAAACACGCACGTGAATTTATGTAATTTTAATCTCAGTATTCTGAAGAAGGCTCTAAGTACCGAGTCGAAAGCTCAATAACTCTGGGATCTTAACTCGCCGCGAGATAAGGCGAGCCTATGCGAGTTAAGGCGAGATAGGGCGAGTTAAGGAAAAATTTGGCTACTGACCCTTGCGAGTTAAGGCGAGATAAGGAAAAATCTGGATACTGAATACACACGATGTAGTTTGGTTTGTTTGTGCATTATGCATAGCAAGTATGCAGTACTTGAAGTAGCAGGCTTAGAAAACTGTTTTATTCTATATTCTTCAATACATACATGATATGCACAATAACTCGGGACCTGGAAACGAGTTGCATCAAAACGAGGCTGGTAGCCAGATGCCAAATTGTATAATTTGTTGCATTATGCATAGTGTGTATAGAACTGCATTGTTTCCTAAATCTTCACAGTATCAGTTGCTAACATGCTATGACTAGCTTCACCACAGATTTTGTAATTTTAGCTGTTTTCATGAACCATGACATTATTAATTAATTATTAAAGTTAGATTCGAATTTGCTTGCAAGCAGCAGTCCTTGTATTCAATTTTTAATTTAATTCAATATAAACATTGATATGAAACAAAGAGAAACTAAAAAACGGCTTGCTACGAAATTATAGATTAGGCCTATTTACTATTAAATTTTATAGTACTTTAAAGAGCTCGAGGCTGTCAAGTCCGTTCTGCTCATACGTTCTGCGCAGGCTTACATTCCAATGGTCGGGACCCGACCGTTGGAATGTTACTAATATCTCGTATATTTTGAACTTTCTTGAATTGAATCTCTAGTCTGTATTCATTTACAAGCATAGCGAACCAGAAGGTGTTAAAAATTTAGTATAATATACATATCTAATCATATTTTACAACTGTAGCACTGAGTTCAAAATGTAAACGAATCGAACCACAATGATATAAATGATAACCAACGATCATAATACTATAATTAATGCCCAACTTACTTGCTTTGGAAACGTAAATGAATGTAAATGACGATGATTCCTCTGTATAAAACTGTATTATTATTAATTGAATTCATATTCCTACTTCCTATCAAGCTTTTATATTCAGAATTCACTGCCTCTCCTTAACACTAACACTAAGTATTGTAAGCAGATTATAATTTTTCCGCTGACGGGAGCAACATTTTCAATATCTGTTCGCAGATAGCATCCCGCCCTCCCCTGGTAGACATAACCTTCCTTCCAACAAGGGCAAATAATGTCAGCCAATCAGCGCGTTTGTTTACATTTTGCGTCCTTGACCAATCAGAATGCATGAAATTCGAAACATGTAAACAAAAGGAGTGAGAAAATAACACCTTGTTCTACGCCCTCGGTGACATTCGATATTAAACTTTTTTCGCCAAAACTGACAAATTCTGATAAAGCATGCTTTCTTCTTTAATTTCCTCGGGGGGATTTTTAAAATTCTGCTATTTTACGCGCGTCGAAATATTTATGTTTGAATAACAGTGTTTCGACGCGCGTAAAATAGCAGACTCTCACTTGCACTATCTTTACACACACATAAAAAATTGGTAGATTTGGCAGTTTAAACTTATTTTCCCCACACCACAGCTGACATGTTTTTAAATATTACCTATCTGATCTCATCGATCTCATTTCGCATCGGAAATGCGTCACAACGATCCACGACTGACAGGTACAAAATCGCATGACTCATTACTGTACATTTAAAAGTACATATCCGGTTGGCAAAATGGCGATTGTCTGACAAGACCTTCGCGAAGGGCTTAATATTTTTGCTAATAAACTGTTCACGAGGGTCTCGTTCTGTTCGTCTTCTGGTTCGTCGTCAATCGTCATCGGCTGCCTCACTTTCTTGGTCGCTTTCGTCCTCTTCAAAGCAAGTCGCCGGGGCAATCAGCGTTAATATTTGCTGTCTTTCGAAGACCTTCCAAGAGCTTCAACATTTGCCAACGTTGTTGCTTCACAAACTGGGCAATCGCTGATGTTGGGCAGGATGCATTCGATGTGGAACGCAGGTCCACAACAACGGAAAACGTTCCAAGTGGATTAACCTTTTCGCAGGCAGGCAAATCGCAGGTAAGATTTATATTTTATATTTACAGATCTTGATACATTTATAGTCAGCGTCCTTGGTCATTGTTCCAAAATATGAGTGTGTGCCAAAGTTAAAATATTACTCATAATCTCCAGAACATGTTTGGACAATGTTTTGAATCACTGCAGTTTAGAATTAGCAGTCGTTTTAAAGACAACAGAACTGGAAGCCGTGGCACCCCATAACTATTCAGTGTACAATACCAGACAATGTAAATTACCACCTCCCCCAACCCAGAAGTAGGCAGTTTTTATTTCCCAGCACTGCATAATCAAAATTGCTGGATTTTATAAATGTCTGGCTTTGTCTCAGTGGCCCTGGTTTGCCCCATGAACCCCACACTTCCTAGATTCAAGCAAGCGGGGACTTATATTGACTGGTACTTAGGTCCTGTTTATATGGAAGCCGGGCTTCCCCGCTAAGTGAGACAGCCCGGTAAGCGAGATCTCGCTGTGTAGTTATTTTTATAGTAAAATTATTGTGCGTTTATATGGACAAGTGGGCTGGCCAGGTTGCCGAGATCTCACTTGAAAAGAGGTGAGATCTCACTTGAAAAGAGGTGAGATCTCGCTTACCGGGGTGGAAATTTCTCCATATAAACACTCACAAGCGGGCTAGCCCAGTTGCTGGGATGAAAGATACCGCCGCAAGCTATTTTTAACAACTGTCAAAACCAGCAAGCGGGATGAAATTTTCTCATATAAACACAAGAGAAATTCATCCCACCTGCCTGTCTCGCTAAGCAGGCCAGCCCGGCTTCCTGCATATAAACAGGCCCTTAGTTGAATTGCAGCACTTGGTCTGCCTGTGTGTTACTTTTAAGTGTACCCTGGTTCTTTGCAAGGTAAAAGAAACAAGAGGTGAGAATGGAAAGCCTCTAGCTGATCATATCAATTGCAAGTCCCACTTCCACACTTGAATAGGTTCAGAATTTGAATCTCGCATGTGATTGGCCATTTGTAAAAATATGTCAAACCTGTTTGGGAAATAAACACTACTGTGAGCTAATTATAGCTATCTATCTATTTAGCATGCCAAATAGGGCCGGGTCACCACAACAGCATATGCCAATTACTGTGAGCCCTTTTTACCCAACCCACCCTGTCAACTTTCCATGTGGGAGGAAACTGGAGTATCCGGGGAAAACCTGTGACGTTCGGCAGAGCGTTGCGGTTTATTCTTTTCACATGAGGACTGGGTTAGAGTCGCATTGAGAAAGTTCTCACTGACTTGAACCTGCGGCCTCAGAGGTGACAGGCAAGTGCACTAACCACTTGGCCACTGAAGCCCCAATTAAAAAGCCCCAAGCTATTATAGTAAACTCAACCAAGCATGAATATTAATACTCCCGCAGGTGAAAAGGTATTAAATTTCTCAGGAGATAAACATATCAACATTAATCAGTT